GTTTTCATTGGTTCATTTTTGGAAGCAGATCTCCAGGCCTCTCTTCCTACTCTACTGAAACCTGTCCACTCTGGGTGACCCTGCTGGTAATACCAGCATCACAGCCACGTGCAAGTCACCACAGCCCTTGGAGGAAGCAAACCTCTGGGATATATATAGATACGTTGATTTTTTTTTTTTTCTTGTTGGAAGTTACGTTATTGAGGTCAAATTAGAAAGAAATGCTGGAAGGGTCCCTGGTCTTGGAGGCTAAAGCAACTCGTAACTCTGAAATCATGAGTTGGCCCACTTCGGAAGCTCACCAAAAAAAGCCCGCCTTTGGAACACTGCAGCCATGTGTGGCCTTGGATAGGTCCCCTGAGCGCTCAGAGCCTGTGCCCTGTGTCAGCTTTGAGAAATGGCTCTGAGGTCACCAGGTGGCACTGAGAGGGGGAGATGATGGGTCACAGCTCCACCTCTTCCTATGTGGGGACCTCAACTCTGTCCTCGCTCCCTAACCTCAGTTTCTCATCTGTGAAATGGGCCCGTTCATATCCCTGTTCTCATCGGGCTATGGAGAGACTGTAAGAATTGAGATGGGTGAGTGGCCGAGGTGTTAGACGAGCGTGAGTCATTACTGGGAATAAATTTAGGTAACAGCATGAAGAGATAGCAGCCCTGTGCAATTTAGAAGAGCGGTGAGATGATTTTAGCTGCTATTTCATGGGGATTCCTTTCTTCATTGTTCTTTTCCGTTTTCTAACTTCTCTTAAGTGAGCATGTGCAGGTCCTTTTTCTCATCATTTGGAGTCAGAACAACCTCAAGGGCACCTGAATGGTTTGGGTTCTCTCCGGCTTACTCGCTCTCCCATTCATTTAAAAGGCTTTTGGATTCTTTTCTTGGCTTCTGTTTTTTATTAGGAACTGTCTTCAGTCTCTAGGGCTACTCTAACAAAACACGACAAACTGTATGGTTGCCTGTGAGTTGAAATCGACAGCAGTGAGTTTGGTGACTTTATAAGAACAGAAATGTGGGGCGTCGGCAGGCCCCCACTCTGTTCACTGCCGTATCTCCACTTCCCGCATCCCCAGCCTGCCAGCATGCCTTCACACAGCACCCTTCCCACTGCGTGGCCCCCCCATAAGGATTCCACTCCCATGGGACTAGAGCCCAGCCTACCGCAGTGTGACCCCATGTTAACTCAGAGCATCTGTCTTCAAAGATCCTATTTCCAAACAAGGTCACACTCATGGGTACAGGACTAGGACTTGCATACATTTGAGGGGGCTTCAAAAATCCTTGGGAAAATTCCATTTTCTTTCAAATCCATTTTCTACCAATTCTCTGAAGACACCCCCTACAACCTTCCTGGGGGACTCAGTAGGTACATCATAGATGAGACCGTCACACGCCATGAGGATGTTTCGTGGTGAGGAGAGCCCAAGGGACCAGGCTCTGCTGCCGCATATGGGGCATCAGACACCCACCACTGCTGTGTGCACACATGCCTACACCTGGCTCATATGTCACCAGGGAAAGAGGAGTGGGGCAGCCTGAGACACTTAGAAGGGGCCTCTGACTGCAGCGGTACTCAGTTAGCTCCCTAGGGACCTCAGGACCCCCTCCATGACTGTGTGTTCCCATACCCAGCACCCACAGGTATCTGCGCTCTGGTGCGGCTCCCTCAGGTTAGCTGGACACTCAGCAGGGTGGTCGCCGCTGCCCGCTGCTCTGCTGCCTGCTGTTCTCTGAGCCTCCGCCTTCTCCCGCTCAGCTGGCGGGGTGGGGGGATACACCCACTATTGCTGTCGCTGCTTCCCTGCTGCTGCCCCCACCCTGCAGGGCTGCCTGGGACGGGGGGCACATCAGGGAGGCACATGGAACGGTGGGGCAGGAGGAGGGTGGGGTCAGGATAGAGAATAGAGGATGAGGTGGGGGGGTGAGGCCAGGGAACGGTCTCTCCTGTTAGGTCCCCTGTGACTCGGGTTTGGGGCACACACAGAGATGAGCCAGATGTGGAGTGGTCAGAGATGGAGAACGTGAAGTTGGGGGCAGAAGACAGAGGTGGGGGATGGGTGGAGGGGCTGTGATGGGGGCACTGAGGCCTGAGGTACACAGGTTGTGAACAGCAGTCAGGGTGGGAGGAGGGGAGAGGCCAGTGGGGCCCTTTCTCTCAGAATGGGAGCTGGGGGTGATTGAGAAGGGGGCTGGGATCCCCAATAGCTTGGGGCATGAGGAGCCAGTATTGGTTCTGACCCCCCTCTACCCCCTCCCCGCCCAGATCCCAGCAGCGGCTCCACTGAAGGGTCCCGGCCCCTCCTCGTCCCCATCACTACCTCACCAGACCCCTCTGGGGGACAGCCCCCACCTGCCCTCCCCACACCCCCCCCAACCCCCCTCTCGTCCACCTTCTCGTCCCCATTCCCGTCCACCCTCCCAGCCCCAGAGCCTGTCCCGCCCACCCTCTGAACCCACCCTGCACCCCTGCCCCCCACCCCAGGCACCCCCAGCCCTGCCCAGCATCTTTGTCATCCAGAACCAGCTGGGTGTCCCCCCACCTGTTAGCGCCCCAGCCCCCACTGCCTCAGGCCCACCCCAGCCCCCTATGCGTCCACCATCCCAGCCCCCTGAAGGGCCGCTGCCCCCAACCCCCACCTCCACCACTGTGGCCTCTTCCTCCGAGACTCCCACCAGGTTGCCAGCCCCCACACCACCCGAATTCCAGGTCCAGTTCCCGTCTGGCCAGGGGCCCCACAAGCCCCCCAGCCCCCCACCAGCCCTCCACCTGGTCCCTGAGTCCACAGCGCCCCCCCCACCGCCTCCTCGGACCTTCCAGATGATGACCACCCCTTTCCCGGCGCTGCCCCAGCCGAAGGCTCTTCTCGAGAGATTTCACCAGGTAACCGGAGGAGGCCTCCCCGCTCCCTACTTCCCAGCTTGCTGTCTGTCCCCACCTGGCACACCTGACTGCCCCAACTCCTCACCTGACCCCCCCACCCCCACCACCTGTCCTCTCCTCAGGTGCCATCCGGAATCATTCTCCAGAACAAGGCCGGGGTGGGCCCCGCCACCCCACAGACCTCTGTCAGCCTGGGGCCCCTGGCCAGCCCCTCTGCCTCTGTGCTGGTCAGCGGGCCAGCCCAATCCGCGAACCCCACCGTCCCCAGCCATGCCCCTGCCCCGGCACCCATGGCCACACCAGGTAGGGGAGAGAGAGACCACACATGGGAGTGGGAGGACCTGAGGTGGGGGGTGGGGGCTGAGCAATGGACATGTGAGCCTGGGGTCACCCCAGCCTCACTGGAAAGGGACAATGGGGGCCATCAGCAGGACTGCCCCCCAGATCCAAGGGGTTTCCCAGACTGGGGAGGCCCCCATGGTCCTGTCCCCAAGATCAGGGTCATGTTTGGAGGTTTCATATCTCTGAGCCCTGAGCCCTGTCTGCCCCTCCCCTCATCCCCAGGCCTCCCTCCCTTGCTTCCTGCCGAGGGCAAAGCCTTTGCCAGCAATCTCCCAGCCCTGAGTGTGGCCAAGGCCGCCCCGTCTGTACCAGGGAAGTCCTCCGGGCTGCAGGTAAGAGGTCCCTGAGAGCAGGTCATCAGGACAGGCTGAGGCTTGTCAGGAAACAGGGATGTGGGAGGGTCAGGACTGAGGGACAGAGGCGGACAAGTCACCATGAGAACCACTAGACAAATTCAGGTGGTATTCTGATATAGCTGGACAGAGACGGGGACTGGGGGGGCGGGGGCTGCCGAGAGCAGCCGGACCACACCAGGTGACATTCTGGTACAATCCAGTGGCCATGAGACTGACAGGTGTGTATTCTGATACATGACTGGGACAGTCAGCCAGACAACGCCAGGTGACAACCTGCTACCATCAGACAGCCATGAGATGGCTAGCTGTAGAGCCAAGAGCCATTGGACACAAATAGGTGACACGCTGACATAGCCAGAGAGCAGGGAGAGACAGGTGAGGTGCTGAGAACCATCAGAATCAGGTGACATTCTGGTACAGCCAGACCGAGATGGGACAAAGCCAGGTGGTGGACATAACCCAGAGAGTCTCATTGTGGACCATACGAGAGACCATGAGAATCAACAGTAAGGTACTAAGACAGCAGAAACACACCATGTGACATGTGGTAGACCAGGACACCGCAGCCCCAGAAAGGACAGAACAAGACAATAAGATGGTTTGCTCAGGACAGACAGACAGCTGAGACAGGAGACAACATGAGAATGGAGCAAGTTTTCCAGGACCAGGGATATCCCAGTGAGGTCTGGGGGCTGTCATATAGAAACTAGGGAGGCGAGAAAGGGGAGACTGAGCCAAAGACCACCCATCAGAGATGGGGAGTGAGAAAGAGAGGGACACGTTAGTTAGGGGAAAGAGGAGAGGCAGGTCAGGAGACCAGGAACCGCAGAAGGTAGGAATGACTCAGAGAACTCCAGAGGCTGAGAAGGAAATTCAGACAGATGTGAGGGGAGACTTCAGGTCAGATCTAAACACTAATGGAGACCAAGGCTCCCAGTTAGCAGACGGGGGTACACAGCAGAGATCAGAAGTCAGGCAGATGCCAAGTGACCACACTTGGGGAAGGAGACAAAGGGACAGAGGCAGACGGAGCTGTAGGCTCCCTGTTGTCTACATCCTGGTCTACAGCCCAGGTCTCCCCTATGGATTTGGTGTGATGGGCAGGGGATGATCTCACCTACACCTAGGGCTAGGACCCACCTGGTTGAGACATCAGGCTGGAAGGAAAAAGGAGGTCAGGGCACCAAGGGAAGGCTTCCTTGTGACAACATCGCTTTTATCTCTTTCTCCTTCCCAGTATGAGAGCAAATTGAGCAGCCTGAAGAAACCACTCACGCTTCAGCCTAGCAAGGAAGCCTGGTGAGTTGGTCCCACTACAGCATCTCACCCCAGCACTTGGTCAGAGGCCAGGGAGGGCCAGAGGGACTGCCCTTCAGAAGTGGGGTTGAACAAGCCTGACTATAAGCCTGGTTTGGGGCAATAGCATTTCCCTCTGAGACCCTGAGTTTACCCTTCTCAAAAATGGGCTGATGATAATTCCTGAATATTTTGACCAAAGATTGTATGGATGAATCCTGATCAAAAGAGGGGGAAATGAAAGACAAAATTTCAAATTGTCTTGGAATCCAGAATTTCTGGAGCCACCAAGGCTGATAGAACCCCTGAAACTACTGCCCTGAGATAGTCTTCCAACCTAAAACCAAAAATGTCCCCTGAAGTCATCTTTAAACCAGTTAATTATCAAAGAATCACTGCCTTGAGCCTTGCGTGATTGTAAAGAATTGTTTCTGTGGGCTCAAACTGACAAGAGCAACTGGCAGGGGTAGACAAGAAGCTTAGGGGACGGTGAGTTTATGTTAACAGGGATGGCTTGTTCAGAAAAGGCTCACTGTCACTAAACTGCACTTGTAGAAACTGTTGGGTTGGTGTATATTTCCAACAGCAGCAAAGCAGAAATGGCTGGTGATGAGAGGGTGGTAGAGGGAAAGATCTGAGGAGACTTTGTACAGGGCATTGTGGCCCCACGAGGCTCTGAGCTTCAAGACAACAGTCTGTCTTGGTCACTGCTGTCCCCTCCCTCAGCATCTGAAACAGGGCTCAGGCGTAGTTAGTGCCTCGTTGATTTCATGGGAGCATGGAGGGAGGGATAAATGGTTTTGAGCGGATGTTCAGATAGGTGTTTGGAGTAGTAGATACGTATTTGACTGGATGAATGGATGTGTGTTGAGAGATGTAAATGAGTAAAGTAGAGGTGGATGCTGATTGGGTAGATGGGTGGGAGGATGCATGTTTGGTTGGGAGGCTGATGGATGGATGTTTGGGTGAATGATGATGTGTGTTTGGGTGGATGAGTAGGTGGATAGAGGTCAAGGTAGGTGGATGGATGAATGGTGGTCTGGGTGAGTAGGTGAATCTGGGTAAATGGAGGGACAGATGAATGTTTAAATAGTTGGAAGTAGTCACATGGTGCTCAGTCCTATGCTAGTTGCTGGGAACACAGTACCAGACACGGACCCTGACTCCACCCCCACCACCATGGTGTGTGGGAACTGCTAGCCTTCACAAAGGATGGAGACAAGTACATCTGCTAGGAGAGATGATGTTGTTGTTAAGTGTCATTGAATTCGTTCCATCTGCTAGCTACCCTGTAAAGGGTTTCCAAGGAGCGGCTAGTGGTTTTGAACCGACAACCTTGCAGTTCAAGCATGGTCCAGTGCTTTATCTGCAAGCGCCACCCCAGGACTGTGGTAGAAGAGCAGCCTAGTGAGAGAGAACTGGGAACCTGCTCAGTGACCAACTTTGCCGCCTCATTCCCTTTCTGTCTGCCTTCTTCCCTTTTGTCTCCTGCCAGCGCAGGGTCAGGATAGGCTGACCCCCAGTGGCAGGAGACAGAATAACATCCGAGATGAGCATTCAGACTTGAGTCTGACTCCCAGTTCTGTCCCTAGCTTTCCCTATTTTGGGGGGTGAGTGACTTCAATTCTCCCAGCCTCAGTTTCTTCATCTGTGAAATGGGAACGTTGGTAGCACTTGCTGATTGTTGCCAGGGATTCAGAGAGACAAAACAGATGCTCCTAGCAGACATCAACACAAACCTGTGCTTTGGAAGGGCTACCTTTTCCTTACTGTGGTTGTAATGGTGGCCTGGTGCTGAGACTCTGGGATCGGATGTGTGCCTCACCACCGGCGCTCTGTGTGGTCTCTCTCGCCTGTCCCCATAGTTTCCTGGAGCATTTGCACAAACATCAGGGCTCCGTCCTGCACCCTGACTACAAGACCGCCTTCCCCTCCTTTGAGGATGCCCTGCATCGCCTCCTGCCCTACCATGTCTACCAGGGTGCCCTTCCTTCCCCCAACGACTACCACAAAGGTGAGGTCTCCCCAGGGCTCTCCCCACACGGTTCCATGGTATCTGCAGCCAGATTTGGCAAAGGGCAGAGATGGACATGTACATGCTCAGTGTGCACACGCTCTGTGTGTGTGCAGGTGGCAGGGAGCTCCACCGTCTATACCCCCAGCTCTGCACTTCACTTCATGTATGCAGTCAGCTCTTTAAGCACGCCACTCATTGTGTGCAGGCTCATTTGTGTGTGTGTGTGTGTGTGTGTGTGAGAGAGAGAGAGAGAGAATGCAACTTGGTGCACCCTCGGCTCTGAGATCAACTCTGTACGCACGTGACTGTGTGTGTGAGCCCCATGTGTGCATGCCTAACTCAATGTTTGACTTCTATGTGTGTGTGTGCAACTGTCTGTGCACACAGCTGTGTAGTACACTCGGCAGAATGCATTCGTATGTTCAACTGTGCCCAGCCTCAACTGTGTGTGCACGACGAATTGTGAGTGAGCTCAGCTCATGTGCATGGGGTAAGTCAAAAAGTATTACTACTAGGGTTCCCTGCATAACATGCACAGGTTTATTCCAAACAAAACATGTGGCAACCTGCCTCTATGATCAGAGAATTACAGAGAAATTCTCTCAGTAATCTTGCTAGGGTGCTTTCCAAAACCGAAAAAAAGGTCTGATCAAAATAATGGCTTCCGAGGAATGTGCTGGGCTACTTCAGTTCAGGGCAGAGAGGTCAGCTCAGAAGGTTGTGGTAACTGTCTTGGGAGATTCCAAAGAGGTCATTATAAAGAAGTTTTAAGAAACTTCCATATTACATTGTTGAGAAAAAAGTCAGGAAAGTTGCACTGAGGAATTGTTTTCTGTCAAAAGCGTTCCTCAAGGATTTCATTTTCCACTAGCAAGGGCTGTCCCATGACAATTTCCTTGGGGAACCTTACCCCACCCACCCTACATCCCTGATTATGCCCCCTCAGATTGTTTTTTGTTTCCAAAACTCAGAGAACATTGAAAAGGAACATGGTTTGAATCCCTCAACTGTCAGGTGGAAGTGGTATAAATCAGAGCAGAATTCTCCAGGGAAGGGTTAGCACGGGTAGGTTAGGAAACTGACTGCCTTCAGAAGTGCAGAGACCTAGATGGAGGATATGTTGAGAAACAGTCACATGTTGACATTTTTGTGTAGTCAAGGTTTCCCTGGTTTCATAGCAATGCTTTCTGACTTCCCCTACTGCGCCTGCGTGTATGTCCGCAATGCCCGCACTCAACCTCTGCGGGTGCGCTCACCTTCTGCACGCACACTCCGCACCTGCATACACACTCAGTCCTTGCGCCATCAACTGTATGCATGGCTGACCATGCACACATGGTGCTGCGTCCACTCCCCAACCCATGCCCCTGAATCTCGTCTCTTGCCCTGCAGTGGACGAAGAGTTTGAGACAGTCTCTACGCAGCTGCTGAAACGCACCCAGGCCATGCTGAACAAATACCGCCTCCTACTGCTGGAGGAGTCCCGGGTAAGGGCTTGCCCTGCCCTGCCCCTCCCGCTCGTGTGGGGCCAGGGGAAGCGGGGTGGTAGGCGCTGCTGGAGATTGGGTCTGGAGAGGCCCGTTTGCCCGCTGTTGACGTCTTCCCCACCTTGCTTACCCTTCCTCCACCCAGAGGGTGAGCCCCTCCGCCGAGATGGTGATGATAGACCGAATGTTCATTCAGGAGGAGAAAACCACCCTGGCCTTGGATAAGCAGCTGGCCAAGGAGAAACCTGGTAAGGGAGGGAGGCGTCCCAATGCCCACGAGCCCCCCGAGGGTAAGCTTGGCCTTACATCACTTCACCCAAACCCACGTTGTGCTGCTAACCAAAAGTCCCCTCTGAGGGAGAAAAATACCTAGTTGGCTTCGCACCCAACAACACCAACAAACATTTCAGATCAGATCTGATTTTGACATTAAATGTGCTACAAAAACTTTTTTTTTTTTTTTTTAATGTAGTGTTTAGAGCAAGCCCAGTAGAACTTTCCACAAAGATGAAGATGTTTCAGCCTGGTTCCTTAGAGGAGCCGCCGTCTGCTTGTGGAGAGTGTGTCCCAAGAACTGAATTTCTATTCAAAGTCCCAAGACTTTGAATTCATTTACATTCAAATGACCCCATGTCACTGTTAATAGTAGTGGTCTGGTGGTCACTCTCCCTATCTTCCGAGGCACTCTAGATGGGATCGAACCACCAATCTTTAGGCTAATAGTGAGGGCACTTAACCATTTGTGTTTCACCCAAAGACTCCCTCCTGAGTGGGTTCTCGGGATCTAAGTCTACTAGAGCAGACAGTGACATCTTTCTCCCATGGAGCGACTGATGGATTTGAACCACTAACCTTGCAGTTAGCAGCCTAGTGTTTAACCTATAGCTCTAGCAAGGTCCCTTCCATGTGATGTGTGTGTAAGTGCCATCGAGTCAATTCTGACTCATTGCAACTCTACGTAGGGTTTCCAAGGAACTGCTGGTGAGTTTGAACCACCAACCTTGTGATTAGCAGTCCAGTGCTGATCCATTGCCGCACTAGGACTCTTTAGCTGTGATGTTGGTGTTAAGCGCTGTCATCACTTCCAACCCATAGCGACCCTGTCCAGGGTTTTCAAGGAGTGGATAGTGAGTTTGAACCGTAAGATCCTGGAGTTTCTAATAAAGGCTTGTCCTTAGCGGTGTGTCACAAGAATCTGAAGAGCAGAGGCTAGCCCAGTGGTTGGTGCACACCCACTGCTCAGTGTACACCAGCTCCTATTAGCTGTCCTCGTCCTCACCCCCGGGTTCTTTGTCTCCTGGTTCTGCAGATGAGTATGTATCTTCCTCGCGCTCTCTGGGCCTCACCATTGCAGCTGCCTCTTCCGAGGGTCACCGGCTCCCGGTCCATGGCCCGCCCTCCTCCTCTGCACCCGGAGCCTCAGCCCAGCCCCCTCCGCACCTGCCCACCAAGCTCGTGATCCGGCATGGTGGGGCTGGTGGCTCACCATCGGTGACTTGGGCCAGGGCCTCATCCTCTTTGTCTTCATCATCCTCCTCGTCTTCGGCTGCCTCATCCCTGGACGCTGACGAGGACGGCCCCATGCCCTCCCGAAACCGGCCACCTATCAAGACCTACGAGGCCCGCAGCCGCATTGGGCTCAAACTCAAGATCAAGCAGGAAGCCGGACTCAGCAAGGTGGTGCACAACACAGCCCTGGATCCTGTGCACCAGCCCCCACCGCCACCCCCTGCTGCGCTCAAGGCAGCTGAGCCCCCGCCCCGACCCCCACCGCCCCCTCCCAGCACCAGCCAGATGAACGGCACAGTGGACCACCCGCCACCCAGCGCCCCTGACTGCAAGCCACCTGCCCCGGCCACCCACTGCCCCCGCTTGCCCCTCCGGAAGACGTACCGCGAGAATGTGGAAGCCCTGGGCAGCCGGGTCACAGAAGGGCCAGGCCGGGCCCGGGGCTGCAGCCCAGCGCCACCAGCCACCAAAGTGGACGAGGCCACCAGCGGACTGATCCGTGAGTTGGCCGCGGTGGAGGACGAGCTGTACCAGCGCATGTTGAAGAGCGCGCCGCCTGAGCCCCCTGCTGGAGCTGGGCAGGGCGGGGGCAGCGGGGACCCCAGCTGGGAGGCAGCCCCACTGCCCCCAGCCAAGCGGCCCAAGTCAGAGTCACCAGACGTGGACCAGGCCAGCTTCTCCAGTGACAGCCCGCAGGACGCGGCACTGACGGAACACCTGCAGAGCGCCATCGACAGTATCCTGAACCTCCAGCAGGCCCCTGGTCGGACGCCCCTGCACAGGCCCGACACCTACCCACCCTCCAGTCACAATGGCGGCCTGGGTACCCGGACGTTAAACAGATAACACCGGGCTGCTCTTCCCACCCCTCAGCCCCTGGAGGACACAAGCCGGGGACCCCTGACAGTTTTTCTTGCCTAAGTTATTAAGTCACAAAGGCCTCCCCCTCACCTCCTGCCTCAGTCGGGGTGGCGGCAGGGAGCGAAGGTGTGGATTTAGGGGAGGGGGCTGTAATGTATAATGTTCCCCCACCAAAGGAGGAGGTGATCCTGGTGTGTCATTGCCTATTCCTCCCCACTTCAGCCTGGGGAACACGTTTGTGTTTTGGGGGGACAGGGCACCCTATGTTCCCGTATTGGTTTTTGCATGTGGCTTCGCAGAATCACCTGAGGACAGACACTCAGAGCCGGGCTCATCCTGACTCCAATGCCCCCTGTAAAAGGAAATGCAGAGAGAGGGCCGTGTCCCAGGACTCCCGTCCAGGGGCACTGGGCCCTTGGCTTCTGTGTCCCATCTGTGTGTGTGCGTGTCCACCAGCGCGTCCTGTGTCTGCCTGTGTGTGTGCCCCAGTGAGAGAGAGGACAGCTTTCGACTCACAACTGAGCACCTCCCACACCAGGAGCCGAGTTCCCCCTCCTGCCCCTTCCCTGCCAGTCTTCCCTCTGTTCTTCCTGCCTCCAGCCGCCCCCGCCAGGTTTTGAAATCTTGGAGACAAAACTAGTACTGTAAGATAAATTTTTTTGTACTGTATTTATTGTGTATAACGATTTTTTTAAAGGAGAATTCTGTACATTTAGAACTCTTGTAAATTAAAAACCAATCCTTTTTTTAAAACTATACTGACAGCCCTTCTGCCCTATTTTTTGGGGTTTGTGTTTTGGGAGGGCAGGGGGGAGTTGGAGCCTGCAGGGAAGGGCTGAAGCTGTGTGGGAAGGGGGCTGTACAGGTTTGTTCCACACATACTTAACTGAGCACTGAGTTTGTGTCCGAGGTCCACTGTTTCGAAATACCACCCAGTGGGTGGCTTGAAATGTATTGTCTCAGTTCTGTAGCCTGGGAGCAAGATCAGGGTGTTCGCAGTATTTGATTCCGTCTGAGGCTCCAGGGAGAGTCACCCAGGCCTCTCTCCTGTCCCCTGGTAGGCCCTGGCACTGCTTTACATTCCTTCACTCCTGTGTCTCCCTGCCTCTGTCTCTCTGCTGATGTGTACAAGGACATTGTTCATACAGGGTTAGTTTCCTCCCTCCTGCAGTAGAACCCCGTGGAGACCAAACCCATTACCTCTTCTCTTTTTTTAAGTTCTTTAGATTTGTTTTTGATTTTGTGTCTACATGTAGAATTCAGTGATGTTGATTCGGAGTGATAACATCTTCAGAGACTCCTTTCTAAAGTCTCACATTCTCAGGTGCAGGAGTTCAGATGTCCACATACATTTCTTCAATCCTTGTTGATGTACAGGGTGTTCAGTGGTGAACAAGTCAGTCCTCACTCCTTGACTTGCTAGTGGGGCTGGCAGACAGTGGGCAACAGCAAAACAACTGTGTGCTGGGTCACGTAGTATCGCCTCCCATGAAGAAAAGCGAAGCAGGATGAGGCAAGGCAGCTGCTGGACCACAGGGCTCCTGCCCCTTTATCCTGGGGATTGAGTTTGGAAGTCAGAATAGGAATTAGATGCTAGTGAACAACCTGTCCAACTGCACATGGCTGTCTGTATAGGAAAGGATTCTCTGAAGAAATAACATCTGAACAGGAAGTGTGAGGGTTGTTAAGTGCAGTCGAGTTGTTTCGACTCAGCAACCCTGTATAGGGTTTCCAAGGAGTGGCTGGTGAGTTTGAACTGACAACCTTGCTGTTTGAACCAACCTTGTGGTCCAGTGCTTACCCTAAGTGCTACACCATGACGGTCACTGGGCTGTCATCTTTACTGGAGCAGATGACTGGGCCTCTCTCCTGTGGAGCCACTGAGTAGGTTCAAACCACCCACCTTTGGTTAGCAGCTGAGTACTTAAGCGTTGCATCACCAAGGCTCCTTGGAAATGACACCACAGAGATACCTGAAGGAAGCACTGGTACAGTAATTGAAATAGCTTGTGCAAAGGCCCTGAGGCAGTAGTGGGCCTGGAGGGTTTAGGAACAGTGAAGAAGCTGATTAGAGCTGAGAGGGAAAAGGAAGGAGGTCAGGTTAAAAGAGGGACTTGGCTTTAACTGTAAGGGAGGCAGGAGTCACTGGAGTAGAGATCAGAGCTGAGGGACTTGAACTTTTGTGTAAACTAGCGCCCTGTGGTGGCCATACAGGAAACAGGCAAGACCTAGACGAGAAGGGCTATGTGTAAGTAGTGGCCTTAAGTGGGAACAGGCGCCCTCTGGTGATCATTTGGGGGACAGACTGGCGAGACTGATAAAAATCTCTCAGTGGACAGTAGCGCTGGTGATGCACGCTGTTTGCCCTCCAGGCCCATGAGAGGGTTTGTGGGTCTGAGGCTGCTATATGGGATTGTAGAGGGATGGACCCTCCCCCTTCCTAGCTCTAGACCTGCTTCCCCATTTGTTAGAGAAGCTTTGAATGAGAGAGCTCAGATTGCAGAGGTCCTGAAAGTCCCCACTGTTTGCCAATGACTTCTAGAGACTCGTCCCTCCCGTTCTGGAAGATTAGCTGCAGCCAAAGAGATGCCCAACGTTTACTAAGCATTTACTACATGCCCTGCTCTAAACCCTTCTCCTGGATCATCATGTTTGGTGTCCAAAGAAAGCAGGTGTTTGTGGGAACTGAGAGCCCTATTTTGCAGGCCTGGGAAATGCAACCCATAGCTGGTTGCAGCATACATTTTTTTTTTCCCATTTGATTTTTTTTGGGGGGGTGTGTGTATGTGAAAATATATACAACAAAACAATACATTTGATGTGTACAGTAAATTGGCAATGGTTCCATTCTTCACCTTTCTCCCTGTCTCTTCCCCTGTTGTCTCACCACCACCTTTAACTTAAGAGTCTCACAGTTAAAGCCAAGTCCCTCTTTTAACCTGACCTTGCAGGTTTTCATTTATGCTTGCAAATTACTGTTCTCATTTCTAGCTAATTCTTCACTAGGGCACATTGCTCAGGCAGACATTACTTACTGAGCTCAATTGTTTAGTTTCAGGATGATTTCACTTCAGGAAATACTTTCAGTTACAAGTTCAAATGTTTCCAGGTAATAGATTCAGGACTGCCCTTTGTCTCACTAGTTTCCAGTAAGAACTTGATGTTTTATTCACAATCTCCCTCCTTTTCATCAAGATCCATCTATTGGCTCTGCAGAAAAATGAATCAACCATCCTTCCCACAGCGATCTGTTCAATCCGCTGAGTTCAGTAATCTGTTGCAAAGGCATCACAGAACTCAGACTCCCAGTGATGAGGTTTATTAGGGAAATTAACAGGTTATATCATTCAGGGGCAGAAATGCTCAGAGCACCACTCCTCCAGTCAGGACAATTTCTCAGCTGTGCCCACAGGCAGGCCTCCCCCCAGGCAATGAACCAAAGCTCTTTTAGTGTTTCTGACAAATGCCCAAAGGATACTCCACTCCACAATAAACCTACACTCAAAGGCACTCACTCAGCTCTAGCTCCAAGGGTCAGCAAACAATGCCTGGAGGCATTCCATTGTGCAAATGAGCCTCCTGCCCAACAGCATTCAGCTTTACCTGCTCCAGGGGCCTGAAGCCCACCTCTCTGCCTCTTGCTCTGGCTCTTGGTTCTGCTGCTGACTCTTCTCTGCTACCTCTCTGGTGCCCCAGCTTTCTGTCTCTGGATTGTGGGGGTTAAAGGTACAGGGCATTTATGAGTCAGAACCAACTTGACAGCACTTAACAGCAACTTGCTTACTGTGAACTGAGGGACTGACAACAAGTGAGTCCTGGGAGAGTCAGAACCCTCTTTCCTTGTCTTCCTCACCTGCATCCCCCAGGAATGAGGCAAAACTGAGCTCAGTTCCTACAAAGTTAGCCCTGGAACCACACTTCAGAGACCTTAACACAGACCCTAACAGCTTGGGCAGTGTCTTAGTTATCTAGAGTCTTGGTCTGGTGCTGTGGGTTAATGTGCTGGACTGCAAAGTCACTTTGAACAGCAAGGTCAGCAGCAGTTCAAGCTCACCAGCCACTCCTCAGAAACCCCATACAGGTGACTATGAGTCGGAACCAACTCAATGGCACTTAACAAAAACAAAGCTATAACAGAAATAACCACCAGGGGGCGACCTTAACACATTTATCCTCTTACAGTTCAGGAGGCTAGAATTCTGAATTCAAGCAACCAGCTCCAGGGGAAGTCTCTGTTGCCAAAGAGTTGATTCTGACTCATGATGACCCCGGATGTGTCATAGGAGAACTATGCTCTATAAGGCTTTCAAATGGCTGGTTTTGGGAAATGGATCACCAGCTCTTTCTTCCAAAGCACCTCTAGGTGAACTTGAACCTCCACCCTTTCTCAGTTAGCAGCCGACATGTTAGTGTTTTGCACCAGCCTGGACCTCCTGGACACATTAACAGGCTGCTTTATTCTTTATTTCTGTACACCATGCTTTGAGTCCTGGTGTGCTGTAGGATAAGCATTGGACTACAAGGTCATTTGAATCACAAAGTTGGCAGTTCAAACTCACCAGCTGCTACTCAGAAACCCTATACAGGGCATTTATGAGTCAGAACCAACTTGACAGCACTTAACAGCAACTTGCTTACTGTGAACTGACGGATTGACAGCAAGATGTTTGCAAGTTGTTTGAACAGAACATGGGAACACTGAATGGTTTCAAATTCAGAAAGGTGTGTGACAGGGTTGTATTCTTTCACCATACTTATTCAAACTGTATGCTGAGCAAATAATCCGAGAAGCTGGGTTCTATGAAGAAAAACATGGCATCAGGATTGGGAGGAAGACTCATTTACAACCTGTGATATGCAGATGACACTGAAAGTAAAGAGGACTTAAAATATTTACTGATGAAGATCAAAGAGCACAGCCTTCTGTATGGATTACATCTCAATGTAAAGAAAACAAAAATCCTCACCACTGGACCAATAAACAA